AGAGGGGAGAGGAAGAAGAGAGGAAGAGGGGGAAGATGAAGAACACAGGAAGAGGGAGAGGAAAATGGGAGAGGACGAGGGGGGAAGGCAGAGGTGGAGCAAGGGAGGGAGAGGAAGAGGGAGAGAAGAGACTGACGAAGAGGGGAGAGGAAGAAGAGAGGAAGAGGGAAAGGAAAATAGGAGAGGAAGGACAGAGGAAGAGCGGGAGAAGAAGACGAGGAGGAGGAGTGGGAGAAGAATGGGGGAGAGGCAGAGGGAGAGGAAATGAGGAGAGGAAGAGGGAGAGACGAAGGGAGAGGAAGAGAGCGAGGAAGGGGTAGATGAAGAGGTAGACAGAGGGAGAGGGAGAGGGAGAGGGAGAGGGCGAGGGAGAGGGGGAGGGGGAGAGGGGTTGAGAGGAAGACGGAGAGAAAGAGGGAGAGGGAGTGGAAGAGCGAGTGGGGAGGAAGAGGAAGAGGAAGAGGGAGAGGAAGAAACACAGGAAGACGGGAATTGCATACACACATGCATGCAGAGCTACATACGGCTTTGCTCATCAACCATACAGAGCAGATGGTAATCCCACTTACTCTACATCTCCTCAGCACCACCAATAGTCTTCCCCCGGAAACAAGGCATGTACCTTGTATACAACTTTCCTGAAAATTCTCCTTTGCAGAAGTTATACCCCATAGTCCGAGTATACATTTTCAACTTGTGAAAAATGGTATCCAAATTCTTCGTCGAAGTAAGTAGAAATAGCCGCGGGTAATACGGGACAACTTACGCAAAAGGGTGGAAATAGGGGCGAGTAATATGGGATGACTTACGCGAAGGGAGGGGGGGGGGGTAAGGGGAGTGAGGGCTCTGAGCAGCCTTCAAAAGGAAAAAGCTGGGGTAGCTTGTTTTGAACAAGACATATACGACTTAGGTGGAGGTGTTAGGACCACAAGTAGACAAACCAGACAAATACGCAGTCAGGGCATAACATAGATCTCAAAATAGGACACCAACGGGCCTACTAGCTCAGTTGGTACTACACCCTTGAACGGAACTGTTGAAATACAGACCTACCTGAATTCCAACTCCACCAGAAGCAGATGAGTGAAATATTAGGACTCAACATAGGACTCAAGGGACGACAAGGTACAAGTAAACAAGATGGTTACACAAACGGGACACATTTTAGGACTCATGGGACACCAAGGTGTCTGAGGGTATGGGGTGCGGAATTAAGGGAGAAGGGAGGTAAGGGTGTGGGTACTAGAAGGATATAGGCGCAAGACTTGGACGGAACAAGAGTAAGGGGTTGATGTGAGGAGCCGCATGCGAGGCTGCTAGGGACGGCCCCCCATGCTCTGCCCTTCTTGGTGGGGCTCTCCTGCTGCATGCCTGGGTGCTGTCAGTAAACTTCCCCGCCAGCAGGAGGCCCCCTGAAAAAGGCGATGGTTGCGAGGCTGCTAGGGACGGCCCCCCACGCTCCGCCCTTCTTGGGGCTCTCCTGCTACATGCCTGGGTGCTGTCAGTAAACTTCCCGGCCAGCAGGAGG